ACTGCTGGCATTCTGATTCTACATCAGTGGTTCCAAATTGCTAAGTGAAGCTTTTAAGTTTCAGGTGACCATTTTTGCTCCAGGGCTTAACAAAACTCAGGAAAATTGTTACAAAAGCTGCCAAACTCAAAGAAGTAGGCAGAAAGATGAAAGGACGTATTTGGTCTCCTTGAGCCTGACTGAAAGGGATCCTCCTTTTCTTTATCTATCCATACCCATAAAAATATAACTAGATTTTAAAAAGATTCTTAATATACACAGAATTGATTTTAATAAGTAAAAATTTACAGTCCTGGTATATTCAGGCAACCATCTTTTCTAATAACTCACAAGGACTAAGTAATTGTATTCATTGAAAATGAGTACTCTGCTGGACCCCAACCATAGTCCCATGTCTTTGTTTTTCCACAATCCAGAAAGACTCCCTACATCTAGCTGCAACTTTATGAGAAGGTCAAGTCCTTGGAGACACAACACTGGGCTACAAGTGTTAGTGGCAAGGAGTTAGCTTTAAGCATAAAGCAGGAAGAAGATCTCCTTCCTCCCAGGGCCCAGATTTAGAGAAAAGAGACTACATCAAAGACAAGGAGACATAAAGGACCAATCTTATAGAGTATCCATGGAAAGGGGAGATCACTGCTAGGCATTCAGATGACTATGATATGACCAGGACATGGGGGATAAGGAAGAAGTTCTAAACCAAACAACTGCTGTGTGAAATACAATGCATTAGGAAGAGATCAATAAAAGGACAAGAACTGCTCAGATTAGTCATCTTGGGATTGTAATGAGTCTAATAGGAAATGAGCCTGAATGAAAAGAGAGAATGTGTTAATTTGTGTGCATCATTGGAGATGGGAATCAGTATAGCTTGCTACAGCTCAATGGGAGAATATGTTTGAGATGAGTCCTCTCTGGAGACGGATAAACAGAAACGAGGATTTTTGGAACAAGAGACTAGGGAAGGTTGGGGAAGCTGCTTCTAAAAGCAAGTGTCAACTTGGTTGTGACAGAGATGGATGCTCATGGGATTTTAGTCTTATACTAGGAGGCATGTTCAGATTGGAGATCCTGACAAAGAAGAAATTACTGCTGAGACTAGAATATGAACATGTCTACTTGCATGGGTGAGTGACGTGAGGTGGAAGAAGACTAAAAACACATATACCGAGAATGGTCAATCTGGAGGTAACATTAAATTTGAGGGAACATTTGGAGTAAAACAAGTAAAAAGAAAGACCACAAAACAGTCCCTGCTGGGGCTGGTAGAAGCAGTGGTCTACATTTAAGGAAATATAGTGGGTTATGAGGAGCATGAGAAAAATGCAACCCACAAGTGGAGAGATGTCCCAGAACAGGTATGGAGTGTGAGAATGAGTAGAGTTTTCTCTCTCAGCTTTGTTGTAAACTAAGACAATGGGGCTTCCCTAGGGGTACTAGAAGAAATGAAGAGCTGTCTGAAAGGTCTAGTAGTGGCTAAGATGATTAAGTGAAGAAATGGGGGAATGGATAACTCGAGAATGCAAGCTATTTGTCCATAATGGACTCACACAAAGATGTACAAACATGTTTAAGATACTAGCTCTTAAGTGACTGTAAAATATGCAGAAAGCATTGTTTTATAACTCCAAGTCCCAGCCAATGTCGAATAGAGTCTTTGTAGAAGGATCCTGAAACAAATCTCTGAAACCCACGTAGATTTTGTACATATAAGACAATAAAGAAGTATTAAATAAGAATTACTGAGAAAGGAAATGACAGGAAAGGGAAAGGAAGGACTAGGAAGGGGGATGGATGGAGCTTGGAAGTGTGAGGACTACAAGATGAGCATGGAGATGCCAGACTAGCAATGAGAAACAGCAGGAAGTCTCCCAAGAAGGTATGCTTTTGGTACTGGGGGGCCCTTTTGAGCTAATGAGTCTCCAGGTTCCTATTCAAGTATTGGTAAGGTAGTACAGACATGGCTGAACTGTCTCTTCAGAATGTTGAGTAGATCATTTACTTATTACCAGAATTTTGGTATCCCTGCATCATTAACGGGCCAAGAGGTGCAAGAATACCTCATCCATTATTCATGTTTCTTTTCAACTAAGTGCTGGGTCCCTAGATGCTGAGAGTTTATAAATGTCTGTCTGGAAAGCACTGACCATGATACAAACTGCCTGTGGGCTGCTTTCACGGCCGAGAGCAATTCATTGGACTTCTTTTGCATTGACCATTTCTATCACTGCTCTATAATTAACATACTCAAATGTGTTTTCTTTTAAAAAAGTATAACATTTTTGCATAAATTACTTGTTTGTCTCTTGGGAAGGCAGGTTAGGAGATCCGGAGTATTGCTGTATCAGAATAAAAGTTATATGTATGAAACATTTCAGATACCATCAATGTCTTTGTCTGTGTGCTTCTTGCAATAAATTTTCATGGAATTGTTCAGAAGATTCACTTTAATCAGACCCCATGGCTTTCCAACAATTACAGTTTTTTTTTTCCAGGAAGAATTTAAATCTAGCATGATTTGTATTCTGACAGTGCCTTAGGAGTGTTACACATATCAGCAAGGAGGAAAAAAGAAACAACTGGCAGCCTTATATGGGCCAAATTCAGATCACTCACTTCCATATCAGGAAACCCAACAAGCTCAATCATTAAGAACATATGCAGTGACCAACAACATCCCTTCCTCTCCCTGGAAACCTTGATGGCCACACCCACCATGAGAACTGCACAGTTGCCTATGGCTGCTCATTTCTCCCTTGCCACAGTCTTTGTGGTGGCTTCCCAGGATCCCTGAGCTGTAACCTCCAGATTTCACAATTCAAAGTCATTCTCTGGTTAGAAACTGCAGAAAGAAATACCCTGCCAGTCAGAAATGTTCTTCCTTTGGATTTCTTGACTGTTTTCATTCTTATTTCCCTCCCCTGGTACTCTAATTTCCTGTGGCTGGCCAGCCTTCCTGCTCCCATACCATGGCAACCTCTCCTTAGTTCACATCTGACTTTCTGTTCAAGTTAGTTCCATAGACCAACTGTAGTTAACTGGCCACCCTCGAGGCTTGCTTTCTCTATGCCATTGCTATGTTACCTAGAGCAACTTAAACTTTGCTGATCTTTGGAGTCCTCATCTGTTAAGTAGAATAATGATACTTTTGTGTGCTATTGTAAAGATTGAATGAGTTAATAATAATTATGTAGAATTTTGACTGGTAGATAGAAGCACTCAGTAATAATTGTTATTTTCATTAGTCTACCCTTCTCTTTGGAGATTTTTCCTTCTAAGAGCAGTGGACAAATATCACCATGATATCACTGATGCCTGTATGTACGCATTGGGATCTGTTGTCTGTTCAGAAAATCAACCTCATATATGATTGTTTGAAAAGTGTATGCTATTTTTAGAACTGTTGCATCACATAATAGTTCTACATATTTATAGATATAAAATTGTCCTTTGGATATCTTTCGAGGCCAGGTTTATATGCCTAACTCAGTAGTCCATAAGTAAAATTACTATTGCCAACAAATGTTTTTCTCACCTAAATTAATAGTTGATAATCCTCATCCACAGGGTGAGAGTTTTAAGAGACTAGATTTTTGGAAGATAATTAGATGATGAGAGTAAGGCTATTCTGAATGAGATAGATGTCATTATAAAGGGACCTCCACACCTTCCTGACCATCTCTACCTTGTGAAGACTCAGCAAGACACTGGCTATCTGAAACCTGGAAGAAGTCCTTAGTGGAGTCCAACCCCACTGAAACCCTCACACTGGGCTTCCAGCCTCCACCATGATAAAGAATAAATGTCCACATTTAGGTCTCCTCTCGCATGGTATTCATCATAGTACCCTGACTTGACAAATTCACAGAGCAACTCACCCTAGATTTGCCATTGTTAGAGACAGAAGTTTGATCTTCCAGACACTACTTGAGTGAGTCACCATGCTGCTTGCTCAGGACCTTGTATCCCTGTTTCCTTCTCTTTCCTCTGGTATTATCACAGCTCTGCCACATCTTTTTATTAACTTGAATCTGTCCACTGAGTCATGGGTCTAATGTGTATTACCAATCATGCCTAGCTTCTGTTTAAACTGTTGTAGACTCCACATACTGTCTCTGATAACTAAGGTCCATCTTATGCAAAGATGCTATTATCCTCAGCTTACTGGTATAATACATCGTATAAAGGCATCAATTACTGTTCACTTTTCTGTGTCTTCGTCCTTTCCATATATATAGGCATCTACTATCTTTTTTCCTATCAATGGTGCTTAAAACCTTACCTTCCATTATAACAAGACTCAAATGTTAGTTCTTGTTCAGATTTTCTTAAAATACTATGTAGCTTCTCTTCCCGAACTCTCAGAGAATGTTGAATCTCAGCTGTGGCATTCATCATGTTCTGGCTTATCTCCTCAACCCTGGCTCACTTCCTTTATTCCTCCTTCTAGATCATAACTTCTTCAAAGGCACTTATTATATCCCTTGAAGCTTCAAATGGGATAAAACGAATGGCAATAATCACACCAGGAATTAAGCTCATTTATTCTGCAAAGCAGCAGCCTGTTGTCAAATGCTAACCCTCTCCCTCACAGCCCTCGTAAAAAGAATGGGAAAGCATATAAATGAAGTAGCACACAAGAGGAACATACAGTGTGAGCAATTACGCCAATTTCTTTTATAGGAAGAACACAGCTGAGATAAACATGGAAGCAGATTATTTACCATCCACGGGCTTCGTTGCCAAATTCTTCTACATTTTTCATTAAAAGAGCTCAAGTAAGGTAAACAAAAGTAGCCCTTGGGAGGAATTAGCACAGAGAAAACAGCTTATTTATCAGCATGGCCTCTGAGATACATCTATTTGCGTAACTGCTTCCTCTGGGACGTAATGCATGTGTTTGCACACCTGCTCAGAGCCACTACCAAGTGTGTAAGATCACTCCAAACCTTAGCTTCCAGGTAAGGGTGAAGAGGGTTGGTTGAGTGGGAAACACTTACCTTCAGGGCATCCTGTGTGTCATCCAGGCAGTAGACTCTGATGCTGTACTCCAGGGACGAGCAGCAGAGGGGCCCAAAGATGGCCAGTTTCAGACGCTTGGCAGCTGCTTTGGTGGTGGACTGCCCAACCAGGGCATAGGTGCTGAGGTTCTCTGTGAGGATATGGCAAGCCTCTGCATCCAGCTGAATGTAACAGGGGGTTGTAAAGTTTTCCTCTCCAACTACCACAACATCCTGGGAATGATCGAGAAGGGAACATGGTTATGCTAACAAGGACATGTGCCAGCCACCATGGATGGTGGTGGAAAAACCTGGTCCTGTGTTCTAGTTCATTTTTCACAAACTTTGTGGTACCTGTTTTCATTCTCTAGTATCAGCTCTTTCTATTGCTGTCTATACACTGATGCAGTTATTGACATAAGTATCCTGGAATTTATAAAAAAGCCAAAAGATAATAATAAATTATCCCTTTTAGTATACTTGAGATCATTAACTGCTTTCTGAGGATTTGGCATTTTAATCCTCCAATGTCTTATTTCTTCGAAAAGTATAAATTGTTAAGGTACCACCATAGCCTATCAACCTTTCGCCCAAGAACACATATTTAAAAATAATTAGTGGAATTAAGACATTATATTGTATCACTGTACTTTCTCTTCCAATTTCTCAGAACAATATACTTTCCCCTAAACAATCTCAGCTCTCAGAATCTCCACAAGGTGAGCTGTAGCAAGGACATACTGCCTTTTACATATGGCTATGCTATTTTCCTTATGCAATTCATTAAACATTTCATTATTTTAGACATAAAAATATTTAGTATGAAATAAGTGGAAGTGATGATTTTTGTAAAATGACAGTTGCTAATTCAATCACATTTTGATTTATTGCCATATAACTAAATGGCCTAACTTATATACTAACAAAGAGGGAGGTCATTCAGCCACGAGTCAACATTCCACAGGCTTCCAGGAGGCAGGGTGGAAGGTGATAAGACATACTGGACACCTAGACCGGGCTAATAAAGCATGAGGTTGGGTTAAGAGTCCAGTCCTCCCTGAGGTCAGCCAACAACATGGCAGGCACAAGGCCAGCAGAGTCATGGTTTACTGTAGACAAGTACACATTATGAATTTTATGTAGTCTTTCAACTTGGATTGAGAAAGAAAGATGTGTGGGAGATAAAACACATGCATGAACACCACTCAGTCTCTGAATTAGATCATTTTGTTTCCACAGAGCAAGAGTCATTTTTCCAATGCTTTCTACCAGGTGAATCCAACTCATGGTGACTGCCAACTACTCAAAAATGTTAATGAATGAAAATTAATCTCCAGGTCTAGATAAAGATACGAATGTAGTAGGTGATAGCTCACTACTACTTCAGGTGATAGTTTATTGGTTAGGTCTTATGACATCATCTGACATATAATGAGCCATATTTTAACAAAGTCAATGAAATCATAGTTTGACGTGAGTATAAAGGAATCTTATACTGGTAATAAAAGCAGCTCAGGACCTCTAAGGTTATTCTAGGCTTCATGACAATGGAGACAGAAGAACCTGAGGGGATATTGTTCAGGAAGTCTATGACTGACAGTGGATACCATGGCTCAAACCTGTCATTCAAGGGTTTACATGAGAATGTTCCTTCTATTCTATTTTCTTGGACTCTTGAGTTCACCCCTATGTCATTGATATCATCATTTAGCCCCAGAAATGGAAAGGGCACTTAGCAGAGTACCTCGCAAACACTTAAGATAGAGCTTTAGATATTTTTGTTGGTGGATATATATATATATATATATATATATATATATATATATATATATATATGACATTAAAGATAAGCCTGTATAAATCTTTTTAAAGACTACAGTTAAAGTATAACCCCAAACTCAATCGTAGACTTGAGGTACTCTGATAAGGAATAATTCCTTCATGTAGCCAATGTTCGTAGAAAGGAAAAATCTAGTTAATCCTAGAATATTGTGCTTTGATGCTAAGTCAGTTTTCTTAAAATATTATAGCTTTAAACTTTCCATGTGGATCTTTGTAATTTCTTTGGTTAAAAATACCATAAGTGATTATATTGTAACTTCACATTTTGCATATGTAATTTTTATACATATATATTTATACTGTCATATACATATGTATTTGATAAAGATATTCTTGAGAGACAGATGCTAAGTGAAAACTTCTGATGAAAGTTCTGATGATCCCTCCTTTGCTCCTCTCCTAGCATGGTGTGCCCATACTCCTAACAGTGGGTCCTTGGACTTCTGAGTATCCTTTACTCTGTGAGCTGATTTTGAACATCCCCTTTCTGGTGCCATCAGTAAGAAGATAAGGAAATAGTTACTGGTCTTCTGGCTCTCATTTTGAGTGTGAGCTAAAAAAGCTGCTTTGCTTCAAAAAATAAAGGTCTCCCCTACTTGTATCAATGATGGACAAATGGTACCATGTTTCTCCTACAGACATTCAACTCACCTCCCACTGTCCCTGCACTGCCTGGTTTTTGAGCTGGATCTTCCAGTCCTCGGTGTTGGGGTCTGCACAGTGATGCAGAGTTAGGATGACAGGGCGGGTCAACAGAGCTCCAGGAGGCCCACAGCTCACCACAGGGGTCAGTAGTGTCTGAGACTCTTCCATGGGGGGCCTGCATGGAGAGCAGAGGACCATACCTATGACATTTCCATAGTATGAATGCACTATGTCGTCACTGAGATCTAGAGTTGGATAAACAGTTCAAATTACTTCCTCATGATACTTGAGCATGGTGGATGTTGGATGATGAGACAGAAATAAATGGAAACCATGTTCTGTATAGACAGGCTTTCATCTTGTAAGACAGGAGGTTTTTCTGACAGTGGAACATTTGCCAGCATCTCTTTGATCCCCATCCTCAGATACAGGGCTGCCTTGGGTAACTTCCTCTGAATTCATGCTCTGATACTTTCAGGATGGAATGAGAAAGAATAGAAGTCTTATGATGTTACATAACCAGCTTTTCTGATAACTCTCACCACTGGTCTCACAGTGTTTTAATACTTTTGCGTTTTCAGGGCCTAACTTGAAAAATACTTCAAAAATCTCACTTCAGAACGAGGACACCCTAGAGCTAAACTTAGTTGAAGTGACTTTCAGGCTTAATTCAGGCAAGTATAGCAGATTCATTCTTTCATATGTGAGCAGAAAGAATATAGAATGGCATTTCTGTAGCAAGTTAAAATGAGAACACATCACTTATGTATTTCACACACAAAAAATCTGGCCATAAGGGACTCAAAGATGCAAATTAACCTCTTTCTTTCTTTCTTTCTTTCTTTCTTTCTTTCTTTCTTTCTTTCT